TCTTTCGTCTTTCCTTTTTATTTTTTATTTTTTGTCTTTTTGAGTTAGGGTGCCCTTGTATCCCCAGCTGGCCTGGAACATGCTATGTAGACCAGGCTGGCCTTGAACTCAGACATCCACCTGCCTCTGCCTCCAGAGTGGTGGAGTTTTTTCTATATTTGAAATGATTCAGCTCCATTGAGCTGTCTACTTAGACCAGGACTGGGTGTCCATGGCACACCATTACATCCTACAACATAGTACAGAAGCTCATGCTGCAGGCTCACAATCACCTTAAAGGTAATTTGGGATTTTCTGTAAGTTTCAGATTTCAAAGGCAATGAAGGAGGGAACAGGGGAGAAGTTGGGGGGAGTATTATGATGGGGTCTTGAGCCCTGGGTGACAACATCTTCCTGCCCTTCCCAATGAAACCAGGGCCTGTCCACATGCAGTCTTAGAGATAAGGCCAAGCCCATTGGGTTCAGGACAGAGGGAAGCTTGAGGTGAGGGCCAGAGAGTGTCACAGGCTGCTCTCCTACCATGTGTGTTCCTCCCTTAGGGATGACTGAGGCCAGCTATACCAGCGTCCATGGACAGCATTTGTCACTTCTCTCCCTACCCTCCAAACATTCACCCAGACATGGGTTGTCTCAGAGGAGGAGTTGATTCTGTTTGGTTTTTGACCCCACCAGTATAAAAACACTTCACATTGCTGTATTGCTCACATGTGTGCATATGCATATACCTTTTTGAGACATGGTCTGATCTAGCCTAGGCCCACCACAAACTCACTATGTAGCCAAGGCTGGCCTTGTAACTCCCAAGTACTAGACTTTCATTCATGTGCCACAACACCCCACTGGAATTATTTTTAAGTATCTTTTTCTCATAAAGACTTCATCTGTTTGACATACCATTAATTATTAGTGTTTTATAGCTTTGAATGGCTGAACCATCTTCGAACACCAGAAAATGACTTTTAGGCAAACAAAAGTTAAAAATTCTTTAAAGAAAAAGTTTTTCTTAGTGCTGAGCATGGCGGTGCACGACTTTAATTCCAGGCAGAGGCAGACGAATCTCTGTGAGACAGAGGCCAGCTTGGTCTATGTAGCAAGTTCCAGGACAAAAGAGGCTTCAGGAGACACTGTCTCAAAAAACAGAAAAAAGTTTTTCCTTAAGAAAAATCACCATTGGATAAGAAAAATAAAAGCAGCTTCCCATGAACTTACTGTCACACAGCTACAATTCCCAAAGACAATGTGTATTTGTCAGTCAGTTTTGTGAAAGCTGATTGTCAGAATTTTTCCTCTTCTTGTCATAGTTATTAAAAAAAATTTTCCTTCCAACATCCTTTAAAGTGTGGAGTGTAAACTGAGGTGCTGGTGATAGGGTGGGTCCTTATACTGAACAGCATGAGCTCCTTTTCAGCATTTCATTCTATTAACATAGACTCAAGAAATAAAAAATCTTTTATTTATAGGCTAAAGAATTTCTTTTTCTTTCCTAGATTTTTAAAATTGCATTATATTTGGAGAGAGATTAAAGGTTGTTGGTAAGTTTGGTTAGGAAACTCATAGCTACCCAACCAGTACAAATATCAACCCCCACTCCATGGCAGAGACAGAGACACCACATCACAGGTAGAAAGAGCCTAGGGCAGAGGACACAGAAATCAGGGGTCAGAGGCCAGTTCCTTCAAGCCCTCGTCCCCATCTCCCTTTCCCACGCCCTCTCCCTCCCACTCTCCATCTTGCTTTCCCTTCATCAGGATCACTATGGCTCAGCTCTGAGGTGCAGACAGGATTATTGCTCCGTGTGCAGACCTGTGACAGCCATGGCAGTAGGCAGTAGGCAGCCTGTGACAGTAGGCAGAGTTGGGGTTAACCAAGGCAAACCTTCCCTGCTGGGCTGAACTCACTAAGGGGAGAGCCTGATCCAAATTAAGAGTCTCCTTTTTGCTTTCTTCCAGGGAAGGTACCTGTTTTGGAGTGGGAATGTGTGTGTGTGTGTGTGTGTGTGTGTGTGTGTGTGTGTGTGTGTGTGTGTGTATACCTCCTGCCCCCAGTGTCCATATTGCCAGAAAATGCTAGGTGACACAAAGACCAGTGAGGGAGATCTGGAACCTCCAGGACCTCCAGAAAGTAGAGAGGACAAAATTCATTTTCTTAATGATTTCGAGCTCCTTGCCAGTCATAAATATAAATATTACTGGAGAGGCAGGGTTAAGATCACAAAGGAGGTAGTTCTCAAGAACTCCACCTGCTGGGGGCAGGTCTAGGGGAAGAAGTCAAAACAGGTGGAGCCAGTGTGAGTGTGGTGGGGCCAGGCAAACCTGGAGCCAGCTAGGGTTCCCCAGGTGCCAGGAACCTATCTGTGGTCTGGGAACAGGGAGGTTGGAAGAGGGACGGTAATAATGCCAAGGAGAGAGAGATGGGGAGGGAGCTGGTACCCACAGGGACAGGGTCCCCTCTGGGTAGATACAGCTCTTGGAAAGTCCCTCCTTCCATAGAGTCTAACTCCAACAGGCCCAGGCCTCTCTCACAGTCCAGTCCCCATGAGGTAGAAAGAAGTCACCTGGCCCCCATTCCACAGCTCCTGCACCTCCATCCCCAACTCCCTAACTACCGTGGAACAAGGAGGGATTGTTGAACTGAACCAGGTGGGCCAAAAGTGGAAATCCTTGGAAGGGACCATGGAAGGGACCTCAGAATGCTCTTGTCCAACTTCTTCCCTTCCTCTGACCAGCTCCAGGAAGTCTTTGGAGACTGGGAACACCAGGCTCAGCTGGGAAAACTTGCAGCAGGGCCAGCTCCTTGAACGCATCTCCTTGAACACAGTGGAGAGCCCAGGGCCCAGAGCAGGGAGCTGGAGCCTGGAGTAGATAGTTCCCTGGGTGAGAGGTTCACAGCCCTCTACAGCGGCCTCAGCCCAGCTCAGCTCTCGGTGGGGACAGCCTGGCTCTGCTGGTCCTCCTGCAACACGATGGCTGCAGTGCCTACACTCCAAGGGGCCCCCAGGCGATGCCAGGCTTGACCTCTACATCTCTGAACAGGCCAGTCACTGATCTTTCTTCAAACTTCAGTTCCTTCCCTGCTGTAGATGAGGTGACCCACCTGAAAGCCGGTGGCTGTCTTCTGATGGCCAGGGGCAAATCGTGGTGCGGTATTGGGGATCTGGGGACTGTGGACGGCCACTGTTGTGGGCCTCCCGAAAGAAAAGTCGCGCATCGGGCCGGCAGGAAAGGTGCCAAGGCCACGGGTCAGGGTGCCCACCGTGGTGGAGAAGCTGGAGAGGCAGGTGGTGGTGCGCGCGGACCTGGAGGCCTGCAGACCCGGGGAAGCCGAGCCCTGGGGGTCCACAGCAGCTTCTTCAGTTCCCTCGGGGCTCCTGGTTCCCAGGGCAGCGTTGCTCGCCTCCCCTCTCCTCTTCCTCTTCCGACGGAAGTTCCCGTTGTCGAACATCTTCTCGCAGTTTGGGTCCAGCGTCCAGTAATTGCCTTTTCCTGCGGAGGAAGGTGTTTCAGAAAGCCTGGCATCCATCATCCGCAGGGCAGCGTGGGGAGACCAGAAAGATCCCTATCTGCCCTACAGAGGATCGCGAGCCCCAAGCTTTGGGGCGACACGTCCGAGCATGGGACCCCTGCGGGAATACCCAAACCCACTAGTATCCAAGTTAGCGGGAAGGCCACAGAGATGCGAATTGACTGGACACCACCAGAGGGGCGGGGTTGACCACACCTCACCTCTATGTGGGTTCCAGCGCTTTCCAAAGGCACCCCCTTTTTCTTAAAATTCAATTTTAATGGTAGACACCCTTTTCTCCTTTCTACAGGGACGTGCGCCACGAGGGTTCAGAGAAGTTAAATAACTTCCAAGGTCACCCAGCTGGCTAGCTCTCTTTGGCTTCTTGCAAACTTGTAAAGGCCCCAGGGCCGCTAGGTTGGCAACCGAGCAGTCTGTCTCAGTTCTCCCAACTGTGCAGTGAGCACTTCGGTCCCCCAGGGTCGCTTCCATCCGCCCCAGCTGCCCACGGAAGGAGGCCGCGGCGTCCTGGACCGGGCGCGCATGCTGCTGGGTACCTACCTGGGTCGCTCTCATCCCGCGGCACCTTCTTGAAGCAGTCGTTGAGAGACAGGTTGTGGCGGATGGAGTTCTGCCAGCCCGCCTTGCTGCGCTTGTAGAACGGGAAGTTGCCGGCCACGTACTGGTAGATCTGGCTGAGCGTCAGCCTCCGCAGCGGCGCGCTCTGGATGGCCATGGCTATGAGCGCAGAGTAGGAGTAGGGAGGCCGCACCAGCCGCAGCAGCTCCTGCTGCCCCGACAGGCTCAGCCACGCGAGGTCCGCGCCCGCCAGGCCGCCCGCGGTGCCTAGGAGCGGACCCGGGGCTGCGAAGCCTGCGGCCGCCGTGTAGGGCGCAGGTCCGGGGGCCGCGGTGTAGGGCGCCGGGCTGAGCGCGGACGTGTTCACCCACAGGCGGGGGCCGCCACCCGAAGGGCCCAGGTCCCCGCGCGCGTGGCCCGGGGGATGCGCGACCGCTCGTTCCTGGCCGTGGGGGACAGAGCAGGAGCCCAGGCTGTCGCAGTACCCGGCCATGTCCAGCCGCTTGTCGGTCGGTGCGGGCAGGTCCGCAGAGAAGCTCACGGGTACCCCATCCAGCCAGGCAGCCAGCAGCTCCTCCTGCCCCGGGCGGTTTAAATGCCATCGGGGCGGCGGGGGCGGGGGACCGGGTCTGGAGGACAGCGTCCGAAGTGGCTAGTCTTCCCCCACCCATCCACACCCTGCTTTGGAGGAGTGAAGTCCACGTCCCCGCCCAGCGGTCAGCATTCCGCACGGCCCTGGGACACCTGGTGGCGCCCCGCTAAATCTCTCCAGGGTGCCAAGGTGTGCCATCCAGAGTAGCTCTGGCTCCAGAGTTTTCGCAGATCCCAGCTCCCTCCCTTCGGCTCAGCTGCCCAAGTCCCTATGGTTTGGCACCGGGGCTCCGTCCCCTGCGTGGCCCCTATGCGCATCCAGAGATCTCCTGCCCCCATGAAATCTGACTCAACAGGCCCCGCTAAATCTCTCCAGGGTGCCAAGGTGTGCCGGCATCCAGAGTAGCTCTGGCTCCAGAGTTTTCGCAGATCCCAGCTCCCTCCCTTCGGCTCAGCTGCCCAAGTCCCTATGGTTTGGCACCGGGGCTCCGTCCCCTGCGTGGCCCCTATGCGCATCCAGAGATCTCCTGCCCCCATGAAATCTGACTCAACAGGACCCTGAAACTTTGCACCTTGTAGTGCGCAAAAGTTCGCAATGAGGTCCGAGGTGTTGTGGGGACAGGGGCTCTACTCGCAGAGTGGCGCTTGGCGTTGCCACTAGAGCTACCCCTTGCCATGAAGGTACACAGAAGGCGGGCTGCTATGGAGGCACCCTGACCCTATGCTGCGCTGGAAACCCAGGAAGTCTTAGCCTCTTACTTTGCTTTTCGGATGCCTGGGGAGTCTGGGACTCTCTTGTTTATGATGTGCCCCGCCCCCCCCTGCACTCAGTGTCCCAGGGCACATCATAAACAAGCCAAGGGGCCCCAGACTCCCCAGGTATCAGAAAAGCAAGCCTAATACTGGACTCTGTGGTGAGCCCCATGCCCTCCATCCTCCCCTTTTATGGACTGGGGACACTAGGGCTCAGCTGGGGTGTGTATACCTTCCCTGCCTCTGCCAGAAACCTGCTAAGGAGCAACCTGTTTGCCCTGCCCTGGCTGCAGGCACCCCCAAGGGGTCAGCAGACAACCAAGGCCCTGGCCGTCCTACAGACCCACGGGTGTGTGAGAAATGTTCTGTCAGGCCTTCCGGACTCTAAGTTTTAGCAAATTGAACCCAAAGACAAAAATTATGGCCTTGTGATTAGAGATAAGGAGATTGGTCCTAGCCACCAGCTTGTCAAAGCAGAGCTGACCCAGGCAACCCGCCTGATTGCCACAGCGAATCAATGTCACATTAAAAAACAGCAAGAGGTCCTATCTGCCCTGGCTTTTGGCAGTAAAGGTACCTGGTGGGTTGGGTCAGTGGTTGCCTCTAGGAAAGAGCCTGGGCTTTGGAATGAAGGTAGCAAGTCTGGGCTGTAATAACAAATAAATACTGCATGACAGAAGCAATTTATGAGACAGCTTGACAAGCCCAAGAGGAACGTAAGGGTCCCTCTACTGCTAATTTTGACCTCTCTGCAGCTCCCTAGGAACAGGCAGATTAACTGAAAGCAGTTCCCAGCCAGAGACCAGGAAAATCTAGAATTGTCTCATGGTGTCATCTCTCCAGCTAGGCCTAGGCTGTGCCTCTGTTCCCCCTTCCCCAGAGTCTTGGTGGGGAGGGCAGGTACATCAAAGCCCCCACTCCCTGCAGGGACAGTACAGAGGATCAAAAGCTCTCTGGACCCTCACTGGCTTCTCAAGGGCACCTATGTATTCCTTCTGTCTACACAGCAGCCGAAGTCACCAGCCTCTCGGAGGAACCATTTCTAGGGTGTGCTCACAAGTGTAAACACACAGGTCCTCTGTGAGTTTGATGAGATTTAGTATCCACTCCTCCAGAATAAGAAACAATTTCAGGTTACACCATAAAAGATATGGCAAGTGTCATGTTAAGTAGGATGTCTGCATGTATTGAAGCATCACGTGGTACCCTATAATATGCACGTTTGCTTTATATATCAGTTAAAAATAAGTTAAAAATACTCATTTTTAAAAAACCATGCACAACTCCAAGAATCAAGTCAGATACTGAATTTTTAGAACACATCGAACACCAGCAGAGCCTCGAGGACATGGATGCCCAGGTGCACCAGTGGGGCTTCCAGAAGCATCCAGCCTAGCTGCCCATGCACACCAGTGACTGGCACCCATGGTTGGTCGACCATCATCATCATCTAGTGGTTGTCAAGACCTGGCTGCCGTCCTCAACAAGGAATCTGAGAAGTCTGTAGATTTCAGAAAATAAGCTAGAGGACACTGGTGTAAGCTGTCATGTGAAGCCAGGCAACTCCCTAGTTGCCACTCAGAGAATCTTGGGTTGAAGGCCTGTGAGCTAACTGCTACCTGCTGTGAGGACCCAGCTTCTGATTTTACTCACAGTAAAACCCTGTGGGAAATCAGCCTTTTGGAGAATGTCTTGATCCACAGTGGGGTGAGTGTCCTCAGTGAGGCCCAGAGACAGCAAAAGTGTAACCTGCATGCAAGGGCTGGGAACAACTAACTTTGATGAGGAAAACCAAGTGTTTCTGACCACTGAGAAAACCAGAAATCCCTACTTGACATTCCAAAACAGTGTGTAAGAGAGACAGAAATGAAGAGCGAAAATCCCATTCCAAGAAACCTTTCTGATCTAAAACCAGTATAAAAGGAAGGGAGTGGGCCCTGACTTTGGCCCATCTGTGTGTAAGAATTATAGATCACGGGGCTGGAGAGATGGTTCAGCAGTTAAGAGCACTGACTGCTCTTGCAGAGGACCCGGGTTTGATTCCCAGCACCCACATGGTGGCTACGAACCATCCTTAACTCCAGCTTGGAATCCGAAGCTTTCTTCTGACCTCTGCGGCATTGCATGACATGGGTGCACTCGCATACATGCAGGCAATACACTCGTACACATAAAATAAAAATAATAATAAAAAATAATTTAAGAAGTATAGATCACGGACATTCTGAGATATGATTTCTTCCGCACCCAGCTCAGAGGTGTTATGTGAGATGGATGGGGTTTTTCTGAAGACGGAGGTGGGGTGGGGAAGGAAGTTGGATATAATAAAAAGTCATTTCATGAAATTCTTGAATCAATAACATGTCTCTTAACCTTAAAAAAAACACATCGAGTCATCTCTCATAATGCAAAAGAATAAAGGAAGATAACAGCTCTTCAATTCTCACGTTTCTTCCTGTTGAAGCTGTAACTAACACTTCTGGGCTCCAGGACGTCCAAGAAAATCAAGTGAACCTTCACGTAATTTTCCTTAATTTATTGTATAAAAAGCATTATAATTTGTGCCTTATTTCAATTCCCCTTCTTAGCTTTCCAAGCCCACTGCTGTCTTTACTACAATAGCTTTCTGATCTTTCAACCGTCTGGGGCTGGACTACAAAATAAGTTTCAGTAGATGGAGCACAGTCATTTGGGGAACACATTGTAACACCTGAGTCATCCTAGAGGGAAGGCCGATGTGAATTATTCGGAGAGAAATCCACCTAAGAGAAGACCTAACCTGCAGACACCACACCCTGCTGGCTCTCTATGCAAAACAACCCCAGGGCCTTCTTTCAGTTTTTGGCCTGACTCTTCTCCAGTCTCAAAGGTAAGTACTGCCTACCTTGGGGACGGCCTCCCAGCCATCCACCACACACAAGTCCACCTGCAGGTGTACCCACAGCTGTCACTGCAACTGTTCCTCCTTCTCCCTGCGTACACGTACACGTACACACACACACACACACACACACACACACACACACACGGCAGTTGCATTTAGGGAGGCTCATCACAGGCCCTGGGCGGAAGCTAAGGCTCTTGAGCTGGTCATAGCTTTGGGATACACAACCTTTCTAACATCTGTGTGGTTAACACTCACACCAAGCAGACCAAGATGTCTTCAGGGATTGCCAATTATTCCCCGTGGAGTCAAATCATCCTTGATGAGGAATGCCTCCGTTAGTTAACAAATCTCCAATTACTGCCACCCATCTGTGTCTCAAACTCAGCATGTCCCAGACTGAGGCCGTCTTCTCCTCAAGCCTGTCTCTGCAGCCTCTTCATGAGGGTAATAATTTCTATGCATCTTGAGGACTCTCTCTTACCTCACTACCATAGTAGCCATCAAGATGTCACACTGTGTCCCGACCTCATTTCTTCAGTTCATGCCACTTCTCCAGCCAAGCCACCTGCTTCCTGCCAGAGTCAACAACAGCTTTTAATTGGTCTCCCTCGCTGCTCCTTGCTGCATGTTATTCGTGTCCTTTATAAAACAGTGCTGAGCAGAGCTCTAAAGACGGCCCCCAGCATCCTGGATTGTTCAGCCCACTGCTAATCTGGGTTGTGCTGAAAGGTGATTTTGTAGATGTAATTGTAACCTGAATCATTTGACATTATCCTACTGGGTCAGGTGAGCCTTTAAGCTGCTCTGTCTGACTGAGAGCAGACACTGAAGTCAGAGGAGGCTACAGACCTTGCTGGCTCTAGGGGTCAGAGGGGTCGGAGCAGGGGTCCACACACCTTGCTGGCTTGAGGAACATGACTGACTGTTGGAAGCTGGATGCCCTCAAATACCAGCCAGCATGAAAACAGGGCCTGTGATTGTACAGCTATAGGCACTGACTCTGTCACCAGCAGAGCTGACCTTGTCAGGGACCCCAGTACAGGGGAGAATGCAGTCCCCATCCACCTCCCTGATTTCCATCTAAGCAGAGAACCAGACAGGCCTTGCTGGACTTCCAACCTACAGGGCTTTGGCTAACGTGGTAGTTTGAATGAGACATGTCCTCATAGGCTCTAGGATTTGAACACTTTGATCTTGGTTGGTGGTGCTGCCTGTGGAGGTCATGGAATCTTTAGGAGGTGTAGACTCACTGAAGGAAGTGT